AGATTCACAAGGAACGTGGGTCAAAGTAGAGCAACTTTTTTCATTTCCCTTAATCACATCTAGAGGCCACTGGCTATTGACGGGTGTGCTGTAAAAAGTGATTAGTTTATGCATAGATTGTAAACAATTATTGTAAACGATTATGTCTTCTTCTACAAGATTAAATAAACACAAGTATTTACAGCCTGATTAGGTGTAAAAAAAAAAAATAAAAAAAAAAAATAAAAATATATCATTATATAAAAATTTTTTTTTTTATTTACTTAAAAATTTCACTTCAATTTTCATATACTGTAACTGCTAATGCCTGCTAATAAAGAATTAACTTCTAAACAAAAAGCAACCAAAATTGATCTTATTCCAATATTTTAAAACACAATCCTTGAGCTTCATTAAATTATTAGGTTTGGTTTTGCGAACCCAAACTTTAATATAATGCCAGAGGTTTTCGATCAGATTAAGATCTGGATTTCAAGAAGACCAGTTTATAATCCAAATATTTTTATTAGCAAGAAACTTCTTCATAATTTTCGTGATGTATGGCCTTGTATTATCATATTGAAACTAAGGATGGCTACTATGATTCCAATCATATATATATTTGTATTATTATAAAAGAAAATTTGATTGACAATATAATTCTGAATTAAATACAAATTTCAATTATTTACTATATGTTACTTAGTAATTCTACTATAATATAGTTTTTGAAAAATGGTTAAATTCAATTCCACTAAATGTATAATTTCAATTAGTTCTATCAAAATTTCGAAGGATTGGCAAAAGATGATATTGGAGAGTTATGATATATGACTTCGCTATAAGGGAAAAAAAATAAGTCTAATTTTTTTTTTAAATCAAAAAAAAATTTTTTTTTATTTAATAAATATTTTATCTTATCTTTAATTGAGGTAAGAAGAGGAACAAGGAGACCAACACTGAACCATGAAAAACACCTTCAATGTATATGGCTTGGGTTATGGTTAATAGTGGTAGAAAAGCATACAGCATTCCACTCTTCATGTAAATTAAACTAAACACAACATTACTTCCTTGCTGAAATTGAGTAAACATAGACTCGTCACTCCAGACTACTTTTTTAAAATTCCAAATGGTCCAGTCTTTATATGCAAGGTACCAAGTAAGTCAGTCTTCAATATTTTTTCCGAAAAAAAGAGCTTGGAATAGGCAATACAACTTCTTAACTATTCTTTATGCAGGATTCAACAGATGGTTTTTTCGAATACTTTGATTTCCATTTTGACTATAAAAAAAGATTGATTAGTTTTGCAACAATAATATGTCTGTTACCCTTTTTGCCAGTAACAAGTTTTTTAAGGTGGTACAAGCACGCTTATTGAGGAGTTGTGGTCATCCCAATTGTTATGTTTGCAATTCTGTGAATTCAGTTTCAATAAAACACTTTATAATATTACCCACCATACATGTGGTCGTATTACCATAAAAGGAAATTTGATCGACAATACGATTCCGAATTAAATACGAATTCCAATTATTTACTATATATTACTTAGTAATTCTACCATAATACGGTTTTTGAAAAATGTCTGAATTTAATTCCACCACATGTATAATGCCCACTGTCCTTCTATTAGTTTGGATACTTATGCTCATCTCTGCTGTTCCGACTGCGATGCATACTTTCTGAAACTTTTCCTCATTATCCTACATAGGAAAAATCAATATCCAAGATGAAGAGGATGACCAACTAAGCAAAAAAAGCTATCTACCAATTCCATTGACGATTTTTCAGTTGTATCTATGTCAACTAGGCAAGTGCTAACTTTACATAACCGGGAAGTACAATCGGAGGGTAAGTAAAGCCTAGAAGTCCTTACTGCTGAACATGTTCTAAGTGGAAAATAAAAATTATTTTTGAATTATATATGTTCATATTGGTTTATACAAAAACAATTTAAAGGTGTATGCTTATGTCGTAATTCTAATTGGGTTATCATTGGTCCTCTACTTCACGTGACCACGAATGCATATCGATCTGTATATTATCACATGAGAGATGAGATATTTGAAAACCCCTCTCCCCCCTTGATAATTACATAATATGTGACACTCCCCTTACTTTTAATAATTTTTTAATTTTTTCTAAATATATCTACTCATTTTTATTAATTATAAAATCACAAAGATTGGAATTGATATTACTTAATATATTTAATGGCTAAAATAACAAAATTTAAATATTATTATTTATTTATTTATTTTTTCTTCAACTAGCCAGGTCTTGCCTAATATATTTATTTAGTTTACATTTGTATTTCTTATATAAGAACTAATATCTATAAACTACTCTAGATGCATATTAAACTATAGTATATCGAATTTCTTTCATATTGGCTTGTTGCTATTGACTTATTCCAAAGATATGTGTCATGCTAATATACCTAGGTTCCACTAGTGTTGTTATTATATGAAAAATGAAAGTAGAAATTAAAATTAATTATGTTTTTCCCCTGGTTGAGCCAATTTTCAAGTAGTTTTCTATGTATGCTTAGTACTTTCTCTTGCTTGTCAGTTTCCTTTTATGAATTTAAAGGTATTGTGGATTGATTTGTCTGTATATTGCTCTTTTTCTTTCTTTTTTTTTTTCTATCGATGTTTTTGCTTTTCTTTCATCATTGAAACTGCTTATATTTTTGTATCCATATTTTGCGTAACTTTTTTGTCATCCTGTTTGTGGCTGTCTTGAGTATATCTTTTATCTTAATTCTATTTAGATTTCTAATCAACTTTATTAGATTCTTGTTGTGAATTTCCTTGACTATATATCTTAGGCTTTTTTCGGACTTGTTAATAATAAGTTCGAGTTGATTATGCCATTTGTATTCTTTTTTTCTTTTTTTCATTCTGCTAGATATTTCTTCTTTTAAGATTTTTAAATACTTTTTCTTAATCTGATCATTATGGTGTTTAGTAAAGACATGTTCTGTATTTTCCTGTTAATTGTACCATAGGCAGTTGCTATTCTTGTACAAGTCAGACTTTTTTGCACTTAATTTATTTTTTGTTGATAACTCGTTATTCAGAAGTTTACATCTGAAAATTCTATTGTTATGATTTTGTTGACTGGTATTGAAATTAGTAATTTTGGATGGTAACAGGCTTGCCCATATTCTCTTCCAATCTATTTCTTTCTTGACTCCTGATTTGAGCCATGCTTTATGTCTTCTTTGCATAACCTATACCATACATGTGGTCGTATTACCATAAAAGGAAATTTGATCGACAATACGATTCTGAATTAAATACGAATTCCAATT